TATGGTGTGCGTCTCAAATGGCACCCTATTCCCTATATAGTACGCTACTTTTGACCAGAGCCCTATGGGAATAGGGTGCCATTTTGGGATGCAGACATGGACTGTGGTGTCTTCTCTGTTTGAGATCTAATGACTGTTGTTGCTACCCTTTACAGGAAACAATTGAAACCAATTGCTGTAGTTCTGGACAGGAATGTGACCTGGATGTGCTTTATTGCTTGCCAAACAGTAAAGGTTGTACTACCTCATGCTCTGTGTAGATTTGACTCTGTCAGCTTCTCAGTGTTACAGTTACATTATAGGGCATCCAATCCTAAACTATGGTCAAACAAACATGAGGTGCAGTCCTGGAATGAACTATTGCTTATTATTACCGGCCATGAATCATTTAAACACTGAAGGTATATTGTAGCTGAGGCTGGCTGGAATTATGCCATACTAATTTGGCCACAAACAGTCACCAATGTGTGTTTGAACTTTGAACCCAATCTACCCTCATGCATATGGGTGCTACACTGGGCAAACTCAATCTGGGTGGAAGCACCTGAGCCCTGGCCCCTGGGGCTGCCCCTGCTGGGGCCATCTGTCTGGTCCCCCCCCCCCCCCCCCCCCCGTGGTAGAACCCCACCACCCAATGATGCTTTTATCACCCTGTCTTCACAGTACACATCTCTGGGCCATCTTCCTGTCAGATGGTTCTCTCCCCACAACACACCTTGGAAACCACACAGCCCCAACCAGGCCCAGTGTATTCTCAGGCCCTTCCTTCCACAGTGACTGTGTGGTTTTAGATCGGCTTGTAACGAGCAAGCTCCAGGTCTGCCCCCCATCACCAAGGTCTCTGTTGAGGGGCCATGTTGACAACAGCCGGTGCCTTGAAACGCCCCTCTCCACTGTGTCCAATATGAAAGGCCTCTCCTCTGCATAATCACACCCCCTTTCCCGGAGGAGCAGCCTGGGTCCCACAGGGATGTGAAGGGGGGAGGGGGCTGGGGTGTATGGGGAGATAGGGTTAGGGCAGGGAGGTAGGGGTGGAGGGGTATTCTATTGGTTAGTTGGGGGGGGTTAGGGACTGTGTAGGCAGTGGCACTTGCATCAGATGTTATTGTTTATGGAGGGAGGGAAGGAGCAGTCATTCATGGGCGATGGCTGGGTTGGCCGTTGGCGTGGATAGACGTCTCTTTCAGAGACACAGCAGGTTAATCAGTGGCTCTGCTGAGTCGTTTGAGAGGGGAGCCTGTGTGTTCCGTTTACCTCTCTCTCGCTCGCTCTCTCGCTCGCTGTCTCTCTCTCTGGTCGCATGACAGTGTGGTCAGGCGAAGGAGGGGTGTGCTTGTGTGTGTCTGTGCGTGACTGTGCGTGCGTAATGTGGTTGTGTAAAATATTTGTTGTAGCAATTTACAGAAATGTCTGTGTGTGGGTATAGCGAGTGTATATGTGTTTGTCCTGTGCAGACATACTTTGCCTGTGTGTGTATGCGACTATGCGTGTGATTGTTCAGGCGAGAGCTCGGACACAAGGCCTGGATTAACTGGTCCGAGTGAGACCCGCGGGCATGCAGCTCAGACAAAAACATTGCCTTGTGTTCAACAACCGCCTGTGTCCACCGCTGACTAACCCAACGGTAACCTCGGCCCTCAATGACACACAGAGAGAACGAGAGAGAGAGGCAACTTAGTAAGCTGCTTTGTGCAAATCCCCATGCAAAACAACAGAGGAGAAAAACCAGAGGGAGCTCAGAGGTTGATTCATTCTGCCCTGTTGTGCTCTCTCTGTGCTTTCTGCTTCAGAGCGAGAGTGGCTTCCGGTGTGACGGACAGGGTGAGAGGGATGTGCAGGGATGAGATGGGAGAGAGGAAGGAGGGAGGACTGCATTAGACAGATGCATACTGTGGATGGGCTGTCCGTTCCCTTGGCCTGTCATGTGCTGAGGGTGGCAGGTAATGCAGGGCATGGTTGGGCAGGGGTGGGGTGGAGAAGCTCCCCTGGGAAGAGATTGGCCTGGGTATGGGACTAAGACTAGAGTCTGGGTTTAGGACCTGGATTGGCATGGCAACAGTGACGTAGGGCCATTGCCAAGGGAATGGACCAGGAAGTCATTTATGGGCGTGTGAGAGAGGGAGAAACTGGTAGGTAGAAGGGAGAGGGATATGACGGACGAGAAAAGAAGTAAGGAGGCGCGCGGGGGAGGAGAGGAGAGGAGAGACGGGCTTATCTGATTATTATCTTTAGAGCTCAGGTGAACAGCTGATGCGCTCTGCTCTCCTTCTCAATTCAATTACAAACAGTCTCAAGGGATGTGTGTTTGATTTGGATTGTATGTTCACGCATGGAGATGCATCATGTCATATACATTATAATATGCCATCCCCTCTGTGTGGTGTGTTTGTGGACACTGAATGTATACTTGTGTACTCTGTGTGGCACTCACACTAGCTCTGGTCCACATTAGCCGCATTATTATGTAACGTCTGCTTCACACAGGCTGATTCTCTCAGACAAGTGTCTGTACGGGACAGGACACATGCACACCAGCAGATTTATGGTTGCGTCCAGCTGCCCTGCACTTTGGCATTGGAAAAATGTATAACAAGGGAAGCAGTGAGTCAGATTTGCTGCCTTTAAATTCTTTCAATGACATGGATTCTCTGTACAGTGTTTCATCTCACTAGCCTATATCCTACAGTCAAGTATCACTGGCCTATAGTCCACTGTATATTTGTTGGTTCTTGATAACTATTTACATTCAGTGCAGGTTCATGGATACAAATGCACAAGATATTAGTACAACAACACTAAACTATCCCTCTACTTGAAGTTGCACTTGGTAAACGAAAGTAGGACTGTGGACACCACCTGCTTCAAAATCATGTGGCACAGCGACAAACCGATCAATATCTTGTGTTGCATCACATACTGTGTTTTTGTTTAAACATGTCTCCATACTGGTTTAGGTAGGTCATTTTGTGTGCAACAGCACAAAAGGGAGAGCGTGGCTATTTTTCAGACGATAGGAGCTATATTGAGTTTGTGGGACAATGCGGTGCCATAGATTTGTAATGTTTTAATTTGTTTAATTGTACCTTTATTTAACTAGGCAAGTCAGTTAAGAACAAATCCTTATTTACAATGACGGCCTACACCGACCAAACCCGGACGACGCTGGGCCAATTGTGCGAATACCAGGAATCTGTTTGGTAATGTACATGCTGCAGGTTGGCTCATGCATCGCCTCAGGCAACACGCATTATTATGACATCCTCCATGTATTGTTACATGACTACCAGGAAGTAGACAGTCATGCTTACATCATGCAATGGTGGAACTTTCCCCTTGTAAGTAACACCACAAACAAGCAAAAGCCAAACATCATCATCATCTATGTTCATATTTTTTACTTCACCTCCCCCTGGCCATATCCCTAGATATTTGTCATAGTATTGTTTATATAATTATTGTGGTCTGAAAACTGAGAAACATTGGCTGTTTTGAAAGCGCTTCACCTCAGTAAGTATGCTTACGCGCTCCGACGGAACGATGCCTCTGTCTGGCTACATGGGAATCGCTCCCGGCTGTTTTTGAACACCTCTTGGATGCTATCCAAGTCGTGTGTGCGCGCGCGTGTGTGTGTGTGTGTGTGTGCGTGTGCGCAATTGAAATCATTGAACCCCACTTACAAGGACACTGTACACCAACCAGCTCCGTTCTGTTTGTGCATGTTTATTTGAGAAATTAGTCATTTGCTTGCACAGTCCCTGAGGCATACACATTTGAATCATTCCCAGTTTCCTTCTCTCTGTTTCCCTCTGTCCTCAAGGCAACCCAAAATATATAGATCATCCTAACAACTTTCCACTTGTTTGAAAGCTGCTGCAGAAGGCCGGAATGACGGGTTAGAGCATAGGGGGCTGAGAAAGAGGGGAGGAGAGAGAGGGAGAGTGAGAGAGAGGGACAGAAGGGGTGAGACGCAGCTCCCTGGGTGACACTCTGCGTTTTGGAAGAATGGGCTGGAACTTCTAAGGAAGCTGGCCGCCTTCTCACACAACCATCAGCACATTCCATCCGTTGTGCGTGTTTTTTCTTTCTTTCTCCTTTACTCTCCTTCCTTCTCTTGCTTTTGCTCACTCATACATTGTGAAATCTAACTGTGTGTTTCTCTATTTCTGTCTTTATTGAAGTCTTCCCCTTTCCACAAACCCCTATGACACAGTCTCTCACTGATTCCCCTTTCCATGGTCAGAGCAGGCCGATGCCTCGTCACCCAGTCTCACCATATACAGTTAAAAGAGAGGACTCTGTGGGCTGGTGCACACATACACTATAATTATCCCCAAGATGCTTGTATGTATGCCGTCAGTGCTCCCAGTTTCCCAACTTACAGCAGATGCCACAACCAGGAAAGGAGGCTTGTGATTGTGTTCGAGGGAGGGCCGTCTATGTGTGTGTGTGTGTGTGTGTGTGTGTGCGACAGTGTGTATATACGATTGTGTGTCACCTCATAACCGCAGGGCGTTGAATCACACACTGTAGCGGCAGACGGTGCCCGTGCTGCACCACCGCTGCAGCGACTGTGATGTGGTGTCCCCACCATTTCTAGAACGAGAAGATGCTAAAAACAGCAGCACCTCCATGATGGATGAGGGGTCCTGTGGGGAGAGAGGCTCTGCCCAGGGGGAGAGGCACTCTGTCTAGTCAGGCTGTCCCTGGAGTGGTCCTCTCTCTAATTAGCAGGAAGCTAGCTAGTGTTGGAGGGGGAGCAGCTGAGCTTCATTATGAATGAATAAATGAGTGACAGTGGTGGATGCGGGCTAACCTCCTCCTATCCGCCTGTGTCTGGTGTACAGTTCTTATATTATGACCAACCCACACTTTCTTGCCTATCTTTACATGCGCTATATATATCGGTGTGACTGTGAAGAGTTCCAATTCTGGGGAAAGAAAGACTTGAATAATGAAATGACATTCTTTTAACTCGCTTCTGCTCTCTCTCTGTCCTCCAGCTCTTCAGAGAGGTACGGATCATGAAAGGCCTCAACCACCCAAATATCGGTAAGCATCTCTGCTATACTAATCTTCCCAGCTTTCAGAGTGTAGTGCCGCAGGGCATACCCGACCCCAGAACATCATCAGCCTAACACCCATCCTCACGCAATGTTCCCCTTTACTGTCAAAACAGCTGCTGAGCAGGAGTCAGGATGATATGGACAATAGTCCCCCAATGAGCTCAAAATAATCCTCCTTTCCAGGGGGATGCAGTCTCACTTAGGGACACCCAGACCCCCTCGCGATGCACCTGTAATGGCCAGAGGGTGTGTCCCAAATAGCACCATATTCCCTATGGGCTCTGATAAAAAATTGTGCACATTAAAGGCAATAGGGTGCAGTTGCTCATGTAAAGCCAGGACAAGTAGACTACCTCCATTTTTTAATAATGCACACATTTAATACTGCATGCAGCTGAACCATAAACTGTGCTGTACCATACTGTTGTATGTATGCTCCCTCACGACGCCAGGACAGCGGAGTCACTCACCACCTTCCGGAGACATTTGAAACCCCACCTCTTTAAGGAATACCTGGGATAGGATAAAGTAATCCTTCTACCCCCCCCCCCCCCCCCCCCCCCAAAAAAATTGTAAAGTGGTTATCCCACTGGCTATAGGGTGAATGCACCAATTTGTGAGTCGCTCTGGATAAGAGCGTCTGCTAAATGACGTAAATGTTCCCTTGAGCAAGGCACTTAACCCTAATTGCTCCTGTAAGTCGCTCTGGATAAGAGCGTCTGCTAAATGACTAAAATGTCTAAAATGTAAATGTTGTGCATTTACAGCACATCTCCCTGCTCTAAGGAACACACAGTAAATCACATTGTGCATTATGAACTGTGTGTATGGTTTGTCTGTGCCACTGTACTGAGGTGTCTGTGTGTGTTTGTGTGTTACAGTGCAGCTGTTTGAGGTGATCGAGACAGAGAATACGCTCTATCTAATAATGGAGTACGCCAGTGGGGGTGAGCAGAGTACCTCACCTTAATCAGTATCCCCACTCGCTCCTCCATTTCTCTCTCTCTCATCTCTTTTCTCTCCACCCTTCCCTCATACTTTCCCTCTCCCCAGTACCTCTGACCCATCGATTTTCTTCTGACCGCCGTCCTCCCTGTCATTTTCGCTCCCCTTTTTCTCTCTCTCGTTGCCCCTCTCTTTCTCTTTATTTCTCTCTCTCCCTCCTTCTCTCTCTCTTTGTCATCATCGTCCTCTCACTCCTCATCTTTTCATTAGCCGGTCAATGATCACTCAGTAAATGACCCAAAGTCAACCATAAGGCCAGGGATCACTGAGGTGAATGAGGCCCTATAGGCTCCATAATGAAGATACTGAGCCCAGATCAGTCTCAATGTAATAGTCCATCTCACTTATGATGCTACTGCTGCGTATGCTTCCCTTTGGCATAGGGGGCGCCGTACTACTATGGCTGATATGGTATGTGACAATAAAACATTTAGAACATATTTTTTTATATTTTTTTGGTCTTCATATTCTTACATTACAATTTCTCCTCACTCGCTCACTTAATGTGTGCATCATAGAAATACAATATAATGATATTGTATGACTCTTATAAATACACTATATATACATCATTGGTGTGCGGGTCAGCTGTTTCTTCACCCGCACCCGCCCGCAATTGCTAATAACCCATCTGCAACCGGCCGACTATGTGGTAAAGTGAAAATCTGAGGCCCGCACCCAACCATAAACCACAAATATAGAAAATGTGCTGTACAGTCAGAGATGGCGGAGCTAAACATTTTTTTGACAGGCCTTTTTAGATAGCTCTATGTTTCTGCTTATAATTACTGAAATTTTGGCAGGCTATTTGTTAGTCAACTTCTAACTACTTCTATAATTAGATAAATGCAGCTTCTCTTCTGTCATTACTTGTTGCGCTGGAAGACTAAATAAACCCTGCTCACCAGAATAATGTCATAAATCGCTAGAATGGATGCTTCAATCTAGTTGACATCTGTAAAGTTTTTTTCTTTCATCTCTGCTTCTATTGGCCACTCGCCGGGGAGAAAATGCAATAAATATTATTTTTTTTAAAGGGAAATATTTTCTGTGTCAAATTTCCAAATGACATCAATTTAACCGGTTTGAAGAAAATGTAAAGCTGTGAAAAGTACCCAACATGTTTCTGATAAGATTTAAGTTCGGCTTAGATGCATATTTTATGAGGTTGAAATAGGCTACTATCAGCTTTTATGATGCTGATAAAGATGGCACCTTTACAGATGGTCCCTAACCGCACATTCATTCTCTCAAGATGCTGAAATAAATAAATGACATTCCCGAGTCAAAATGTACATTTGGTGTATAATTTTACCTCAAGAAATCCTTAATTTAGCAAGAGTTCATGTTATATTTGGCTATGTGAGAGGTTATAGACCTACAGTCTGTCCAGATTTCTGGCTACTATTCCATTTAACCCATCTGAACAGTAGTTCCCTTGATGTGCCATTTGGAAGTCCCCGTCTTGTGACTGTTGAATTTGTATAGCGCCTAACAATCATCACACATAACATAGCCGGCACTGCTATCATCCTCTTTACCAAATCTTTCCCCAACATTAGACTACTGTTCTGGCCCTCCCTTCTATTTATTGTCAACTCTCCATTTCGCAGCTTTTCTCTTATTGAAATAAACTCCGCATTGTCCTTTTTGCCTCAGTGGATCGAAGTTAACTTTTTCTGCCGGCGAGCATACAGTTAGACCCTAAAGCTAAGTCTGCACACTAACTCCAGATAAAAGTAACAACATTTAAACCTTAATGTAGCCTACAGATATGAATTGCACAAGAAGGATAAATGTATTGATTTTATATGCATTTTCTCTTTCATGACCATTAACCCGCCCGCCCCGCGTATATAACCGTGGGGACTGCGGGTTATGAGTCAACCCGTGCATCACTAATATACGGTATAGGTGCCTCAATTACACACACTATTCAACCAGACGGTGTTGTAAGCCTGATTCTCTGTTTGTTGATGCGGTTTGTCTCGCTCTCCCTCAGGTGAAGTGTTTGACTACCTCGTGTCCCATGGCAGAATGAAAGAGAAAGAGGCGCGGGCCAAATTCCGTCAGGTGAGATGTGACCAAAAATGTATAATCACAACAAAACCCAGTGAATGGTGTTGATTTGGCCTGTATTACATTGCAAGCGTTATTATAAGCCTGTATGTGTCAGTGTCTGTGTGTGGGTTTTTTACTGTGACTTGTCTCACTCCCCTTCCTTCTCTCTCTCGCTCTCTCTCTGTCTCTCTCCCCCCTCTCCCTCTCTCTCTATATATATCTATCTATCTAGATTGTGTCTGCTGTCCACTACTGTCACCTGAAGAACATTGTTCACAGGGACCTTAAAGTATGTGACTTGTTCAGATCTGATGACATGGGCCCTTTTTCACTGTCCAAAATGACAACCACTCATTGATATTAAGCATATCAATATCAATACATTAACGAATGTGGAACACTGATAATCTCTTTCCTGAAATGAGCATACAAACTCAGCCTGAATTGAACAAACTCTTGATCCTTAAAGCTGCACTCTGCTATCTTCACCTGTCTCTGCAGGCTGAGAACCTCTTGCTGGATGCCGACTCCAACATCAAGATCGCAGACTTTGGCTTCAGTAACGAGTTCACCATGGGCAACAAGCTGGACACGTTCTGTGGCTCCCCTCCCTATGCCGCCCCGGAGCTGTTCCAGGGGAAGAAGTACGACGGGCCTGAGGTGGACATCTGGAGCCTGGGGGTCATCCTCTACACGCTGGTCAGCGGATCACTGCCCTTCGACGGGCAGAACCTCAAGGCAAGCCCCCCCGCAGCGCAGCCAAATGTCTTTTACTTTGGCTGAGTCCCAAATGGCACTCTATTCCCTATATAGGGCACTACTTTTGGTCCGGTCCCATATGGTGTGGTCAAAAGTTGTGCACTATATAGGGAATAGGGTGCCAAATGTGACGTTTTTGGTTACTAATGCTGCCTGTTGTACTGAAGGGTTTTGTGCTGATTAGTTCATGTTCACATTTTATTTTCATGTTCAGTTGATCAAGAGAAGGGTCCCGTTGTCTTTTAGTCTATTTGCCATTATTATGCATCATGTTTTTGTGTAATGTTATATAACGTTTTGTGCATGTTATCTGTATGTGTTGTTCTCCAGGAGCTGCGGGAGCGTGTTCTGCGTGGGAAGTACCGCGTGCCCTTCTACATGTCCACCGACTGCGAGGGCATCCTGCGCAGGTTCCTGGTGCTCAACCCCACCAAACGCTGCACCCTGGAGGTGAGGAGGGCAACTGCAGGCGGCACTCAGCCATACAGTACACACACACACACACACACACACACCCTGTTTGTGCCATCTTTAACACATCGTTTTATCCCTCCTCATTAGCAAATCATGAACGACAAGTGGATTAACTCTGGCTACGACGGAGAAGAACTGAAGCCTCATATAGAGCCTGTGGAGGACCATAATGATGCCAGCCGCATCGGTGAAATACCTCTAACTCCCCTCTACTCCCTACCTACATATCGTATGCGTCCCAAATGGCACCATATTCCATATTTAGTGCACTGGCCCCTAGTAGTAGTAGTGGTAGTAGTATTATTTTTATTATTATTATTTGGGACACACCCATCCTCTTCTTTCTTTTAGCCTGTATCTCTCTGTAACGTCCCTCATCTCTCCGCTCGCCTTCAGAGGTGATGGTGGGGATGGGTTACACCCGTGACGACATCAAAGACGCTCTGACCACTCGGAAGTACAACGAGGTCACCGCCACCTACCTCTTACTGGGACGCATGAATGAGGTGAGGCACAACGAGACGGTGTGGGTGGGTGGGTGAGAGAGAAAATCCTTCATCATTAAGGCTTTATGTGTTGCCTGTCTACCTTCCCAGTGTTCCCCCTGAAATGTTGAGTTTTTTTTAGATATATTTCTGCAGAGACACTCTTTTAAAGGGATAGTGTGAGATTTGGGGAATTCATTGCCAAAGTCTCGCGCTATCCCTTTAAGATCAGTATATTTGTAGCAAACAGAGCAAGCAGTGGTGGGAATGATAGCCATGAGCGCAGAGCCACCGCTAGCTCCTCATCATCTCCCTGCAGTGCAGTGGCGCGCACCAGTTATATTTCAGATGGTGTCAAAATAATTTAATTTTCATGCATTTTGGAGTAGAATGTCCTTTGAAAAAGTCACCAGAAGTGACCTCAGTTGTTCTACAAAGAAAATCGCCCTCCGCTGCCTTTGCCACCGCTGCTAACACAAATCCTAGGGGAACACCTGGCGTGCCGGTCTGCTACAATACGTGTGTGTGCATGCCTGTGTGTCCACACTGTCCACAGTCACCTGAGTCCTGATCCTAACGTGTGTTTCTCTCTCTGTGTGTGTGTGTCAGGTGGAGGGCATCGAGACTCGGTCAATCAGCAGTCTGAGCCTGGCGCGGGTACGGCCCAGCACCGTCACCAACGGCACCAGTAAACACTCCACCTCCTCCACCACCTCCGCCTCGGCCTCCTCCTCCTCCCACAGCAAGACCACCCAGCGCAGCGCCTCCACCTACCACCCCCGCAGGAGGCACAGCGACTTCTGTGAGTGGGCTGTCTCTAAGGCTGCATCCCAAAATGCACCCTATTCCCTAAATGGTGCACTACATTTGACTAGAGCCCAGAGCTCTGTTCAAAAGTAATGCAGTAGTCAGTAGTAGTGCACTATAAAGGGAATAGGTAGTAGTTACTGTTGATATACATTACTGTCTGTCCATCTGGGAGTATTAGGCTATGTGTCATAGGAGCTTGTCTAACCGTGACATTACATTAATTAGTGTCTAACCTAACTACTGGGGCGTTTGTGATCCAACTAGCTGTCCGTCACTACCTCCTCACTTGTGTTTAAAATGGTTGTGAAGTAGGATTTCCTTCCGTTCTGCCAAGTTTGAGAATGTTTGCTTTGTGGGTATCAGTGTGAGGTCACCAGTCACCGCTTTACAAGTGTGTGAGATCTTCATAATTTGTGCATTTCCCACTCATGTCAGTCTATAATATCATAAGATGCTGTTTAACCCAAACCATTTACAGTAGTCCATGCAGAATTGTACGTATGGGTGGCCCCAGCTGAATTCCAACCCACAATCTTGGTTTTACAAGTGCCTTGCTCCACCAACTGAGCCAAACAGGACCAGACTTTGATTCTCATGTTGTATCCTCTGCCCTGTCTGTCTGTTGTGCAGGCGGTCCAGCAGCGCCCCCATCCCACCCCAAGCGTAGCCCCAGCAGCGTGGCGGGGGCAGACAGGGAGCTGAAGGAGGAGGGGGGGCGCATGGCATCCCGGAAGGTCAGCAGCAGCGTGGTAGGCAGCCGCTCCATCCAGCCCCCCTCCAGCCCCATGGTGAGCAGCGCCAACAATCCCAACAAGTCAGAGATCCCCGACCGCCGCAAGGAGATTAACACCGCCACGGTGAGCACACACACATGCACATAGGCCATGTTCTAGGCTGACTACATTGCAGCGTTCCAGGCTCACTACATGTCAGCAAACCACATCATATAATAGAGTTATCTGATGCCAGACTGCACCGTTGATGAAGTGGCACGCAACCATTGATCGGCCTACAACATGACCTTACACATAATTATACAATATAAACACGCACACACACAGGGAAAAGAGGGGTTCACACCATCAAGAGGCAATGTTACAAGCGATAAATGAAACTAAGATCAGTGTGCGGGAGAATGAACCAATAATACTTTGAATAGAGAATCTACAGATGAATGCTAAACTAAGATGTGGACAGAGAGAATAGAGATTTAACGCTAGCGTATAGGTCCAGAAACAGTATAGGGATGAACAACAATAGCAACAGTGTGAATGGAGAATATGGAGATGAACCTAAGATGAACCCTTTGAAGGGCTCAGAGGCACTCTGACAGGGTGGGCTGAGAGGGACAACAAGAGTTCAACACTGATACTGTGGTTACGTTCCAAATGGCACCCTATTCCCTAAAGTGCACTCCTTTTGACCAGGACCCATAAGTAGCGCACTAGATAGGGAATAGGGTGCAATTTTATTCAACGTAATGTACTATAAAGGGAATAGGGTGCCATTTGGGATGCGTTCGCTGACAATTTTGATGTGGGGGGTGGACATTATCAGAGTCAGGGCTTTGAATAGACATAAACATCCCTAGCATTATGTAACCATTAGACAATAACATTATATGGAGGAGAGGAGGGATATATGATGGATGCCTTTCTGAATTTCACCAAATCACAGTCAACGTGTTATCTATCCAACTGTCATTCTCTCTGCCTTTCAGAACAACGTCCCAGCAAGTGCCATGATTCGACGGAACACGTACGTGTGCACCACGGACCGGAACAGCACAGAAAGGCCCTCCCTACTACAGAACGGAAAGGAGAACAGGTGAGCAGAGCGTTTGGGTTTCATGTTTGTGTTTGAGTGTTGCACATGTGCTTCTACATTTGTTGACTCCTTGAGTATAATAGCAGGGATAGTGTACATTCACTTTCTCAACATTGTGTGCATACATAACCTGTGTGTTTTGACTGTACTGTACTGTAGTGGTGTGTTTGTGTGTATAACATTCATTACATCTCTTGACTTAGGAGATAAAGAGCTTACGTGGTGTGTCAGAATGTGGTGGTTATCATGTGACCTGAAGTCCTAGCACTGGGGGAGGGGAAGGGTGGGGGTGGGGGGAAGGGTGGGGGTGGAGGGGGAAAGCAGGGGCTGGCAGTGTCCCAACTTGACCACCAACCGCCTCCTAGGCCGTGTCAATGCAATGCCACTCTAGATGGGCTGACGGGACGCACGTGCTGGAGCACATAGTTACACCACTGCATACACACAATGACAAAATACACAAACCAACAAACTTGTAAACATACACAAATAATCATGCTCATACAGACATGCATGCTGTCATACAATCACATGATACACACAGAAATACATGGTCATAGTAATCATGCATTACATTCTACACATTTTCAGTTCCTGCCCCTGGTCTCTTTTGCTTTGGGGCTCAGGTTGAGGGTAAGTGATTATGCTCTGAAACGGCTGCAAATCAACAAAAGGACTCTGATGTGTCTGCCCTACTCGGCCCCTCTCACTGTGTGTCTGTCTATCAGAACTCTGGTTATTTAGAGCGTTAAGTAAAGCAGCCCCAGGCCAACAGGGGCTCAGCCAGCCTAGCTAACCCAGCCAGTCAGGGAGAACTGTAGGGAGCGGGACAAGGGGACAATGGGAGGGGGAGCTCTGCCAAGTGGATGAAAGGATGCAGGGTTAAGGGGACATGGGGAAGGAGAGGTGGCTGCTGCTGGACGTCCACACGCCTCCAAGCAGATGTCTGAAAGCTTCATTTTCAGTCTGTCGCTCACCATCTCTCCCTCAAGCCCTCTCTCTCTATCTCCCCCTCTCTCTCTATCTCTCTATCTCACCCTCTCTCTCTACTCTCTATCTCACCCTCTCTCTATCTCTCACCCTCTCTCTCTCTCTCTCCCTCTCTCACCCTCTCTCTCTCATCTCTCACCCTCTCTATCTCTCACCATCTCTCACCCTCTATCTCTCAATCTCTCTCTACTCACCTCTTTTCTCTCATCTCACTCTCTCACCCTATCTCTAATCTCTCACCCTCTCTCTCTATCCTCACCCCTCTCTCTCTACTCTCACCCTCCCTCTATCCCCTCACCCTCTCTCTCTATCTCTCACCCTCTCTCTCTACTCTCACCCTCTCTCTCTATCTCTCACCCTCTCTCTCTATCTCTCACCCTCTCTCTCTATCTCTCACCCTCTCTCTCTATCTCTCACCCTCTCTTTCTCTCTTTCCCTTTCTATTTCTATGCTCACTTTTCTTTTCTCACTTTTTACCAGCCTACCAGTCACACCCCTCCCACATCCCCCTTTCCAGTCTGTCCTTCCCTCCTCCCTGATCCCCCTCAGTCTGTTTCCACCAAAGGCCCAGGTCTGATTTGGCCTCACCAGCCTTCTCTCTCTGTATGATGAAAGCCAATACAAGTGGAAGCTCCTACATTTACATTTTCATTTACATTTTTGTCATTTAGCAGACGTTCTTATCCAGAGCGACTTACAAATTGGTGCATTCACCTTATGATAGCCAGTGGGACAACCACTTTACAATATATCAACAAAAAACATTTTTTGGTAGGGGGAGGGTAGAAGGATTACTTTTATCCTATCCCAGGTATTCCTTAAAGAGGTGGGGTTTCAAGTGTCTCCGGAAGGTGGTGAGTGACTCCGCTGTCCTGGCGTCAAGAGGGAGCTTGTTCCACCATTGGGGTGCAAGAGCAGTGAACAGTTTTGACTGGGCTGAGCGGGAACTGTGCTTCCGCAGAGGTAGGGGGGCCAGCAGGCCAGAGGTGGATGAACGCAATGCCCTCGTTTGGGTGTAGGGACTGATCAGAGCCTGAAGGTAAGGAGGTGCCATTCCCCTCACAGCTCCGTAGGCAAGCACCATGGTCTTGTAGCAGATGCAAGCTTCAACTGGAAGCCAGTGTAGTGTGCGGAGGAGCGGGGTGACGTGAGAGAACTTGGGAAGGTTGAACACCAGACGGGCTGCAGCGTTCTGGATTAGTTGTAGGGGTTTAATGGCACAGGCAGGGAGCCCAGCCAACAGCGAGTTGCAGTAATCCACTCCTACCCTGTGACTCAGCTCTGTAAAGGTTCACCATCCCTTTGCCTTAACGCTCAACTAACTCCAGCTAAAGCCTTTCTGGCTCAGATCGTTTGTCTCAAACGATACATTAGAACGGTGATATACCCTATTTTCTTTTGTCATACATTATGGACTGATCACCTCACTGTTAATGGTTGAGTGATGGATGAACGTGATGATGATCTGATTGATTGTTTTGTCCTTTCTCCTCTCCTCTCTCAGCTCCATGTCCCACCGGCTGCCCCCGGCCTCACCCTCCACCCACAGCATCGCTGGGGCCTCGGGGACCTCCTCCTCTTCGGGCTCCCGCCTCACCCGGGGCTCCAGCATCCGCAGCACCTTCCACGGGGGCCAGCTGAGGGACCGGCGGCCTCCCTCCCACGCTCCCCCCACCTCCCCCACTCTGTCCCACGACGCCAGCCCCCTGCCCCACGCACGTACCCGCGCCACCTCCAACCTGTTCAGCAAGCTCACCTCCAAGCTCACACGCAGGTAAGAGGAGAGTGAAGGGAGTGTGAGGAAGCCCTGAGCTTTAGCCCCCCAGGATAGTGACGCCAACACTTCTAGGCTAGTCCATAGTGAGGGTAGAATTCTTAGCTTGAACCCCATTGACTGGATATTTAAGTGAAGGAATTTCAGTAGAAACATCAGAAGTGTAAGCAATCCTAGTCTAAACAGCTGAAAGGGACAGGCAGCATGAAATTGGGAGGATTCTAATAGACGTTAGTTCTAATTATATGATGCTGTGCGCAACATCTTTGTTAGCGAAGCCCAGTAAACTACTCATCTGTGTGCATTGATGAAGACAATCAACTTTAGTCTAGATAGCAGGCCTGAACCAAAAGTGAAAATAAATGTTAATTCAGGCATATGACCATGAAATAGCACCCTAAATTAGACTAGCGTGTAGTAGAGGCCTTTACAACAAGTTGGACCCGTTCTGAAATGGACTTGGGGCTTTCCAATCCAGACCCGATATGCATAAATACATTTTTCAAATAGAGACCCGTTCCGAACAGACCCGAGGACAACTAGACCCGTTCCGTATAGACCTGGTCGGATCCAGACCCGGTCCGATCCGAGTGAGAGAAGCAGCAGAAAAGTCCATTTTTAATCTACTTTATTAACCGGAACTGATAAAGCGTGAGGGAGAGGAGGTAGAGAGAGGTGACGCTCTAGCAGGGGCCGTGCTGTGTGTTTAGGCTACTGTGAGTGTGAGCGAGTGACACAGGAACGGAGGAGGGAGGGAGAGGAGAGAGAAGGCAACCAACCGAGCCAACTCGCGCTGTAGTAGACTAATAGCTGCCGTAGCTAGGTTATTTATCATCCAATATGTTTACGTAGTACCTGTCTTGACTGCATCAAACCGGGAGAAGCTAGTTAAGCTAGCTAGCTAGCAGCTAGCTAGGCTAATTGATGCTGCATGCTCTTTCTCGTCCTACAGTTGCAAAGAACAACAACTGACTTCATTCAGAATATAAAGTAGCAGCCTACCTGTTGTCTCTTGGTCGTTGTAGCCTATCCTTCTCCTTTAACTTTTAATTCCATCATTTTAATTCCATCTTCCATTGATTAGATATGTGTTAACCTTCGTACTACACAGAGGCTCTATGACTATAGCCTATTGCCACTTTGATGACTTATGATTGACCAACAACAAGCTTACACGTGCCCCTCTCGTGAAAAGCAAAGAGTAGCAGTATAAATTATGCAATTACTGCAGCAGTCGCGTTTGGATCTGTATGGGTCCTTCTGGACAAGTCAGTTAAAATTACACATACCCGTGACAATCATATCAGATCCGACCCAGACCCGTGACATTATTTAGAATTCTGGATCCAGAACTGCTCGGGTCCTGGATCGGGTCTCGGGTATTCGGATCCGTGAAGAACTCTAGCGTGTAGGCTACAGTGTTAGATGGTGTGTTAAGGACAAGCCAGTTGGGCTTTGTGTGCCCTCCTCTACAGTAGCCTAAGACAGGTGACAGTGACTCTTGCAGTGATACTTGGAACCCTTTCTCAATTTGGAGGGCATTCGTCTTAGCCCTAGAGAGACAGTAAGGTGTGTGTGTGTTTCTGGCCATCGGTACTCAGACTTACACTGCTGGAGGGTCCGAAATGCTTCTTACGTCCCCCTCTCTCACTCTCTCCTTAATCTGCTTTGACTTTCCTCAGGCTTACTTCCTCCTCTATTAACCACAGGCTTCAAACCCCCACTTACCCACTTCACATCTCCCTACTAAACTCTCTCTCTCTCTCTCTCTCTCTCTCTCTCTCTCTTGGTCTTGGCTGTTTTTTGGGGAGGTGCTTCATGTTTTGTTTGTTTCTTAACTACTTTACTCTTCCTTGTTAACTTTACGTTTCCTTGCCAATCAGCTGCAATCTTTTATCCTTCTTTTTTCCCCTTTATCCATATCTCTTTCTCTGTCTTTCTTTCTTTGTCTCTCTCGTTCTCTTTGTTTCTCTCTCTTCTTCCTCGTAGGGTCAATCTTGACCCCTCTAAGCGTCCGAACTCAAACAAGTCCGTCTCGGGCTGCACTCTTCCGCAGGGATCAAAAACAGTTAGTAAGTTCTTCTTCCCATGTTTCTGGCTCCTTCGCTCTGTCTGTCTGCCTGTCCGTCTGTCTGCCAGCACCTCCAACCCCAACCCCTCACCCACTCCCCTCTCATTCTGTGTGCGCCCTGTCTGTTGTCTGGGTTCAGTACAAGAGCGCGCCCTAGAGGCCACAGGTGACACAGCATACCCTTGACAACAACAGAACAACAGCCAGCAAGGACCCTGCTTTCCAAAGGCTTTTAAAATGCGCACAGACGTGTAGTACTTGATGTAGGAGCAGTTTGGATCCACTATACATTCTTCTTGTATTTTCAGTTCAATTAAAGGCAGTTGGTTAATGGATTTATTATTGTATGGATATCTACCAACTGATTGTAGCATTTTAAAACAATAATACCTTTGAAAATCAAAGGGGTCTGATGTGACTTTGGACTCTCTGGGCTGTTCTTTACCTTCTCCTAAAGCTTCAGGGTGCACCTCACCCTAATGACCTCACCACTCATTGTGCAGTTGTGTGTCGTCCAGTTGTACTTTTGATGACGATTGTAAGATGGTGACTCATTTAATGAACCCCATATATTCCTCGCATTGTTAGAACGTCATCAGTCCCAGAGCAAGTACTGTGAAGCTGTTTCAGTGTTTTTGGTTTAGTCTACCTACCTCTTTGCCACAAAACAACGCTATCACAAGGCCAAGGAGGTACAGATTGGAGGGGGTGGCGGTTTTGTTTGTAAGAAGCTGCTGCCATGCGTCCTTAGCATCGCTGACACTTTAAACCAGGATTAGTTGCGTAATAGAGCCTTTATCCCCGCTCTTAACGGGATCCCCTTCACAGTCCCAGCCAGAGGCACAGGCTTGTCAGTCCTTATCCCCCCTCTCCAATCCACTCCACTCCCCATGGGCTCCACTCACTCCCTCTCTCCCAGAGAGATTTGACCTAACATGGCAGCCCAGACGCTATCCCACTGGCAGGTTTGTTTTAAGACACTCAACAGCTCAGATCTCTCCCTTATGCTGTTAGATGGAGATTTTATAGAAGGAAAGCTCTAATTCTTTCAAGACACGCCCAGTTCCTGGAATGGCATTTGGGTTGCCAGGTTTGTGGGGACGGCATTTGAAATGGGAAGGTTACGCACATGGGCGACACTCTTTGTGGTGCTTGAACAGCAGCGCCCCCTTGTGTGTGTTAGTTGGATGTGTAATGGGACATCTCAAAACCTGTCCATACTTTAGTAGTAGTAGTCATTGGGCGAACACCATGTGCTTTCATATGCTTTTTGTCCGAATTAATGGAATACATGTTCTACAAACCCACTTAAAATCCATCACAGCACACGTTAGAATTATCCAGTTATGTTACGCATTGCAAGCACTAGCAGCTTTGTAGTCTCTTGGCAGACACCCGAACCTGCCCCAAGCCCTTCCCTCTAAAATAACACTTCTAGTGTGGCTTCAAAGTGTATGTTTTTTTTTTATTTTATTTCATTTAATTTCCTTGCATTTCGGAATGTTGATGTCACTCTGGCTCTGATGAATTGATGGTGTTGTTGTTAAGTTGGTGTTGTGGTTGATGTTGCCTTGCTGAAGGAAGGATGGGAACAGGAAGAGGAGGGAACAAGGGATATTTCTCTATTGGCTGATTCATTCCTAACACGCACCTTTGTCTTCCTCTTGAGGGTCACAGACGAACCTGAGAGAGTCTGCAGATCTCCGGTCACAAGGTGAGTGTCTACAATACAGTATGTCCCACTGTGATGAGAACCTCTTTAATTACTGGCCCAAGATCAGTTTCCCCAAATCCAGTTGTAACCACATTCATTATGATCACACAATGCAAAACCGATCCCAGACCAGTTAGATAGTTGTGACGGATATCAATCAAAGACATTCTCTATCACTCCATGTCTGCCCACTATTGGGCAGTATGGCAGCTCCAGGACCAGTAGTTACTAAAGGCATTTCTATTCTCTCCCTCACACTGTAGCCTCGGCTGCACAGTCTCTGGTCAAACAGTCTCTGGTTAAAACCAGCAGGTAAAGCTCAGAGCGTGGGTCAATGCAGCATTAGCTCTAAATGCCCTTGGTGTGACTCGTAGATAGTAGATGTGGTACCCTGTGCTAGATGCCTGTGAGTGAGTGCCTCTAATTATTTTCTGAAGTAGGAACCTTGTGTGTTTTTTCAAGTAGGTTCCTCAGTGTGTGATATTAACAATTTAAACTCCCCAACCTTTGACATTAACCTCATTCTCACATACTCAAATGATTTTAATAAATGAATACCTATAATTATGTAGACATGCAGAATACTTACAGAGCTTCCACTACAAAACTTCCAGTCTTAGTTGTGTTGTGTTGGTGGTGTGTGCGTATAGTTGGTAAGTCATGCTGTTGAACTATTACCTATGTTTCCAAGAGTAGTACGAGTACTAGTGTTTGGTATCTTGGCTATGTCCACCCCTAAACCTACACCTTCCTACACAGCAGATGTGTTTTTGCTAGCGTGTGACTTAGCAAAGTAAGATGCCACTGCAAGCTGATTCTGTGACCCACCAGGACAGCATTCCAAATAAACATTTCTGCTTTGAAATGTAAATCAATGCCAACTTCAATTAGCTGTGCAAACCACCAGGGTTGGGTTTAATTCCATTTCAATTCAGGAAGTACACTGAAATTCCAATTCTCTTCAATGCTTTTCAATTAGGAAAATGTTGAATTAGAATTGGAATTTGGTTTACTTTCTGAACTTTTGACTAGATTGAAAAGGAATTGATCACAACCCTGCAAACCACAGACACCTCCAGAAATAATAATGTAATGACCTGAATATACAGTGCATTCAGAAAGTATTCAAACCCCTTACATTTTCCACATTTTGTTATGTTAAAATTGATTAATAAATGTTTTTCCTCATAAATCTACACACAATACCCCATAATGACAAAGTGAACAGAGGTTTTTAATTCTTGCAAATTTATTAAAACAGAAATACCTTATTTATGTAAGTATTCAGACCCTTTGCTATGAGACTCGAAATTGAGCTCAAGTGCATCCTGTTTCCATTGATCATCCTTGATATTTTTCTACAGCTTGATTTGAGTCCACCTGTGGTAAATTCAATTGATTGGACATGATTTGGAAAGGCACACACCTGTCTATATAAGGTCTGACAGTTGACAGTGCATGTCAGAGCAAAAACCAAGCCATGAGGTCAAAGGAATTGTCCGTAGAGCTCCGAGACAGGATTGTGTCAAGGCACAGATCTGGGGAAGGGTACCAAACAATTTCTGCAGCATTGAAGGTCCCCAAGAACACAGTGGCCTCCATCATTCTTAAATGGAAGAAGTTTGGAACCACCAAGACTATTCCTAGAGCTGGCCGCCCGGCCAAACTGAGCAATCTGGGGAGAAGGGCCTTGGTCAGGGAGGTGACCAAGAACCCGATGGTCACTCTGACAGAGCTCCAGAGTTTCTCTGTGGAGATGGGAGAACCTTCAGAAGGACAACCATCTCTGCAGCACTCCACCAATCAGGCCTTTATGGTAGAGTGGCCAGACGGAAGCCACTCCTCAGTAAAAGGCACATCACAGCCCGCTTGGTTTGCCAAAAGGCACCTAAAGGACTCTGACCATGAGCAACAAGATTCTCTGGTCTGATGAAACCAAGATTGAACTCTTTGGTCTGAATGCCAAGCGTCACGTCTAGAAGAAACCTGGCACCATCCCTACGGTGAAGTATGGTGGTTGCAGCATCATGCAGTGGGGTTGTTTTTCAGCGGCAGGGACTAGGAGACTAGTCAGGATTTTGAGGGAAAGATGAACGGAGCAGACTGGGGTGAAGGTTCACCTTCCAACAGGACAACGACCCTAAGCACACAGCCAAGACAACGCAGGGGTGGCTTCGGGACAAGTCTCTGAATGTCCTTGAGTGACCCAGCCAGATCCCGTACTTGAACCTGATGATCGATCATCTCTGGAGAGACCTGAATATAGCTGTGCAACGACGCTCCCCATCCAACCTGTCAGAGCTTGAGAGGATCTGCAGAGAAGAATGGGAGAAACTCCCCAAATACAGGTGTGCCAAGCTTGTAGCGTCATACCCAAGAAGACTCAAGGCTGTAATCGCTGCCAAAGGTGCTTCAACAAAGTACTGAGTAAGGGTCTGAATACTTATGTAAATGTGATATTTCAGTTTTTCATTTTTTATAAATTTGCAAACATTTCTAAAAACCTGTTTTAGCGCTGTTATAATGGGGTATTGTGTGTAGATTGATGACATATTTTTTTTAACCCATTTTTGAATAAGGCTGTAGCGTAACAAAATGTAGAAAAAGTAAAGGGGTCTTAATACTTTCCGATTGCACCATGCATACAGTTCAGATCATTGAGTGGGGCATGACTGTAGCCTGGTCTAATGAATGAGGTATGATGGTGCAGCATTACTTAGAATATTGTTGCCTTGAAGAACACGCGTCCTCAAAAAGGTAAAATTGTGTTGTTGACTTGCCTAACTTTGTTGCTTCCTAATATTCTATTTTATTGCACTGCGGTATCCTCTGAATTGTGCACCACAGATATATTTTTCTAGAATTGTCTAATTTATGGCAGCATTTTAAGATGGCAATGTATTGTGGATGCTACATCCACTCTTCAGTGAAGACTGTTAAAAACATTTTATATACTTTCATTTCTATTGGCCTTGTTATCTATTTTAATGGATTTTAATGGATTTCTATTGATACATTTTAAGAGTTGTGGCTGTTAAACCAAACCATATATGATACTAATCTATTTCTCCCCTGTCCCCCTCTTCCCTTCCACTCACCCACATGAATGCATCGTCTCACCCACACGCCACCTGCATCCTCTTCTGTCATTCAATCTTTCACCCCCAATCACTCCCCCACTCCCACCCACCCATGCCTCACTCACTTTGCCCCTGCAGTCGCCATCTACCTGGGCATCAAAAAGCGGCAGAGCCCCGGACCCCCCGATGCGGCTGGGATGTGAGGGTGCGGAGCCCGCGGGACCCGGCGGAGGTGGTGCTGGCGCTGCGCGAGGCGGCTCAGGGCTGCGGCTGCCAGGTCCACCTGGCTGGGCCCTTCCTGCTCTCCTGCACCCACGGGGCGGCTGGCTCACGCGTGGCCTTCGAGGCTGAGGTGTGCCAGCTGCCCGCCGGCCCCGCTGAGACCAGCGGCGTGCGCTTCAAACGCCTGTGGGGGGCGCCGCTCGCCTTCCGGGACATTGCCACAAAAGTGTCCAAGGAGCTGGAGCTCTGAGGGCGACAGGGGGTGGGGCAGAGGGCTTCTACACTGGACAGACTGACCAAGGGGGCGGGAGAAGGAGACGGGCAGAACCCGCTACCCCCCCTGCCAACCTCGCCTCACCCCTGCCAAAGACCCGCTTCTGGTGCCACACGGACACGCAGACGCACAGGCCCGGGCCCGCCACTCACAGACATATGACCTATGAACCCTGCTGAGGCACCTCAATATTATGTGAATCTACGGAGTCTAGCAGTTATTTTTTAATTCCATATTTGCAGATGAAGATATATTTCGTCAACGTCGTTATGATTATATTATATTTGTTGTCATTCCTTTTTAACAGCTGCTATTTTGTTTTTAATTTTATGTTTTTATTTTTTCCGCTTCCATGAGCGATTGACGCAGACTGAATGCATATTTAAGAAACAAGGGGCCAGCCCTTTCCTAGACAGAACTTCAGGCTATAGAGCAGGGGTGTCAAACTCATTTTTCCCTGGAGGCCGCATTCAGTCTTCAACAAGGTCCGGAGGGCCGAACTGAAAATGTGTTATATTTCCTTGCTGTCAAAATTTGCCAAAAATAGTCCTCTATCCATCATTGTTTGAAATTTTTATGCTCCCTGACTGTCTAGCTTTCATTTAGATGATTATTAACGAGCTGGACACAGTCAATAAACTGTAAGAATGTAGGTCCATTATCTTATCATTTCTACAGTTTTGATTTGGTTGTAGTCATTTTAAAGTATATTTAAAATAATAAATTGTTGTTTTTGTTTTGTTTTACTCCAACCCGCGGGTCAGATTGGACCCCCTCGCGCGCCTGATATGGCCCCGGGCCGTATGTTTGACACCCTTGCTATATAAGGAGACATGCAGAAATGCAGAGACGACAAAAAAACGATGCTGTAAAACAAATGCCAGACCCTTCTGCCCATCCATCGTCTGCTCAATTCTGTAAGAATTACCTCTGCTACTCTCGTCAAGTTTCATTTTCTGTTTTGTATATACCGGTATGTTGGTTACCAATGAGCAAAGCTGTCTGACTTCAATGTCCAAAGTAGAATAGGCGATGACTGCTCTTCTGAGCAGGTAACCGTTTGATTTTCTGCGTTTCAGCAGGTAATGTACACAAGCATTCTACATGTTCTTCTGGTAGCACTTTTGGTTTAGCAATATCACCTCTTACAAATGTATTTCCTCTTAAATGGTACAGCACATACACAGGGCCAAGATTCCAAACACGATTTGATATAAGCTGTGTTTAGTATTATGTTGTGGAAAATTGATTGTCACATTTCCACAATCAAGATTTGGATCACTTTTTTTGTATAAGATGACCCAAGATCGCATAAAAAGATAATTGGATCAACTCCTAATTTTCTGTTCAAAAAATATATATCATTGATCACACAGACAATAACAACTACAGCAATGCTTGTTGATTTGCATTCAGTATTTGAGTCCAATGATTCTTGTGTCTGTGGTTCCCTGATGGATGAGTTCCGAACTGCTCCTCAACACCGCCCTCGGCAACACTGAGCAATTGGTCAACAAAACAGGCGTGATGTAGCCACTTCCCTTCTGGTAACCAATCAGACTTCTGTATTGCTGAGGGGGGTAGTTTAGAATGTGACCCTGGGTGACCTCGTTGAAATCAACCCTGACACTCTTCTATAAATGAACCACGGCCCCAAGCTGCTCACAATAGATCCAAGTCAGGTAGATAGTCACTTGCTCAGGCCTTGACTGTTTGTCACTGGCTTTGGTTTGCACCAATATACAGTAATGATCCTTGTCGCCTCTCAGTGGGTCACAGCAGCAGACATGCCAGAACTTCATTCCCAGTTGCTGCAGTGGGCTCTTCTAGTTTAGATCTCTGAACCAGGTTTCTATTTTCTCAGCTCAGATTGTGTTGTTGGTGTCGCTGAATGTTCCTCAACCTTTCTTGTTTGCTGAAAAATGGCTCAAAGATTAATCAACAGTGGATGATGTTCTCATTACAGAATGTGCTTGTTTGTCACTGTTCCAGTACAATGTCATTTCTACAGTATGTAACATCCCAGTTATATTCCGTAACCTGTGACACCCCTGACCATCTTCGCCAGCCTGCCCACACTGGACTGCCTGCCCAACACACTCACACATTTTCAGTTGTTTTCAAACTCCACCATTTTCCACCTTATTCCTTTTGGCAATAATATTTATGTGTATGGCAGTAGTACATAGTCATCCATAACACTACTATGACTTCAGTTTGCCGGCTGCAAGGAATCATGGGAGATTTTAGTTGCAACAGGTGGCCACAAATGTCTTAAAATATGAAAGCTGTGATTTAGGGCAATTTTTTTGCAACTTTGCCCAAAATAGGACCTCTTGCCCAACAATTCACATCTGTATTGCTTAAAGCTTAGGACAATGCTTCATAAGTAGAAAGTAGTTGTGCGTTGGAAGCAGTCGCTGTTAAACGGGGTGGAACTATGGAAATGACTGACCTGCAGTCCTGCATGTCTCCAAGGAAAATTGTGTGAAGCAAAAATAAATTATCCTTTCAAACTCTGACATTTTGTATCACGTTTATTTTTGTTCTCACTGTGATTGGTCATGTTATACAGTGCATTCAGAAAGTATTCAGACCGCGTTACTTTTTCCACATTTTGTTACGTTACGGACTTATTCTAAAATTGATTAAATCGTTTTTTCCCCCTCATCAATCTACACACAATATCCCATAATGGGCGGCAGGTAGCTTAGTGGGTAAGAGCGTTGTGCCAGTAACCGAAAGTTCGCTGGTTCTAATCCCCGAGCCGACTAGGTGAAAAATCTGTCTGCCCTTAAGCAAGGCACTTAACCCTAATTGCTCCTGTAAGTCGCTCTGGATAAGAGCGTCTGCTAAATGACTAAAATGTAAAATAATGACAAAGCAAAAACAGGTTTTTAGAAATGTTTGCTAATAACAAAAAACTGAAATCTCACATTTACATAAGTATTCAGACCCTTTACTCAGTACTTTGTTGAAGCACCTTTGGCAGCGATTACAGTCTCGTGTCTTACATTTACATTTGAGTCATTTAGCAGACGCTCTTATCCAGAGTGACTTACAGTTAGTGAGTGCATACATCATTTTTGTATTTTTCATACTGGCCCCCCGTGGGAATCGAACCCACAACCCAGGTGTTGCAAACGCCATGCTCTTCCAACTGAGCTACATCCTTCTTGGGTATGACGCTACATGCTTGGCACACCTGTATTTGGGGAGTTTCTCCCATTCTTCTTGCAGAACCTCTCAAGCTCTGTCAGGTTGGATGGGGAGCGTTCGTTGCACAGCTATTTACAGGTCTCTAGAGATGTTAGATCGGGTTCAGGTCTGGGCTCTGGCTGGGCCACTCAAGGACATTCAGAGACTTGTCCCGAAGCCACTCCTGCGTTGTCTTGGCTGTGTGCTTAGGATTGTTGTCCTGTTGGAAGGTGAACCTTCACCCCAGTCTGAGGTCCTGAGCGCTCTGGAGCAGGTTTTCATCAAGGATCTCTCTGTACTTTTCTCTGTTCATCTTTCCCTCGATCCTGACTAGTCTCCCAGTCCCTGCCACTGAAAAACATCCCTACAGCATGATGCTGCCACCACCATGCTTCACCGTAGGGATGGTGCCAGGTTTCCTCCAGACGTGACGCTTGGCGTTTCATCAAACCAGAGAATCTTGTTTCTCATGGTCTGAGAGTCCTTTAGGTGCCTTTTGGCAAACTCAAAGCGGGCTGTCATGTGCCTTTTACTGAGGAGTGGCTTCCATCTGGCCACTCTACCATAAAGGCCTGATTGGTGGAGTGCTGCAGAGATGGTTGTCCTTCTGGAAGGTTCTCCTATCTCCACAGAGGAACTCTGGAGCTCTGTCAGAGTGACCATCGGGTTCTTGGTCACCTCCCTAACCAAGGCCCTTCTCCCCTGATTGCTCAGTTTGGCCAGGAGGCCAGCTCTAGAAAGAGTCTTGGTGGTTCCAAATTTCTGCCATTTAAGAATGATGGAGGCCATTGTGTTCTTGGGGACCTTCAATGCTGCAGACATTTTTTGGTACCCTTCCCCAGTTCTGTGCTTCGACACAATCCTGTCTCTGAGCTCTACGGACAATTCCTTCGACCTCATGGCTTGGTTTTTTCAACTGTGGGGCCTTATATAGACAGGTGTGTGCCTTTCCAAATCATGTCCAATCAATTGAATTTACCATAGGTGGACTCCAATCAAGTTGTAGATGATCAATGGAAACAGGATGCACTTGAGCTAAATGTTGAGTCTCACAGCAAAAGGTCTGAAAACGTAGGTATTTCATTTTTTTATTTTATAAATCTGCAAAAAAATCTAAACCGGTTTTCGCTTTGTCATTATGGGGTATTGTGTGTAGATTTGAGATTTTTTTGTTTAAATGTATTTTAGAATAAGGCTGTAAGGTAACAATGTGGAAAAAGGGAAGGGGTCTGAATACTTTCCTAATGCACTGTATGTAAGAAGTTTGTTTATTGTACCATGGTTTTAGGGCATTTACGGGGCTGCTGTAGCGTGTGTGCGTGATGTGTGTGTGTGCGCCCACTGAGTGTGTGTGTGAGTGTATTTCGAGACCATACATCAGACAGTGGGGTTGATTGTTAACTGGGGTTTGCTTTATTTGCTCAATACATTTTACAACCAAAAAACTGATTTAAGATTAGGTGCATACACATAGCGATGGCCCTTGGCTGGCACCAGACTATGCGATGGTACTTTGATCCCAGGATGTTGCAGAAAGAACGGGACAGATGGTAAAAAGTCACCGTAGGAAGGAGAAAGAAAAATTATGAAGAGAAAGAATGAAGGAAGGAAAAAATAGTTTGATCAGAGTGGAGTGTCTTTAGGAAAAGTCCAGGGAGGCAGTCTCCTGCCCGTGTGATGACAAGGCTACTCATTTTTATAATACAAAAAACACCGAAGCACAAATGCCGCTTTACTTCTGGGCGGGGATCATGCCGTCGATGGCCTCTCCCTTCTCCAGCTTCTTCTCCATCTCCACCATGAGCTTGACGCCATCCACCACCATCTGCACCTGCTGCACCTCTGAGGAGCCCAGACGATCAGCGTTGGAGATGTCGAAGATTCCACCCACGGAGGCGGTGTCCACACCACCTGCAGGCAAAGAGGTCAAAGGTGAGTCTTCATAATCCTCAACACTGGTGTTCAATGATGTACATGTCAGATTAAATATGGCTTGGCTAGTCAGGTTCAATATGGCTTTGCTAGTCACCTCCAGAGATGCATATGTAATGGCAATGTAATTACATTATAATAACTATTGCGAGGTACAGTATGACTTTGTGCATTAAGACTGTAAAGAGAGTTTGAGAGTAGCTCGTACCTGTGCCGCGCTTCTGCAGACGCAGCCTGGTCAGGATCTCCTCGAACTTGGCGTGTGTGCTCAGCTTGGGCAGCTTGACGTGCACGCCACCGCGCAGGCCAGTTCCCAGGTTGGAGGGGCAGGTCAGCACGTAGCCGAGATGCTGGTTCCACATGAAGCCGTGGTTGTGCTTCGTGAAGACCGCCTCAATCTGCACAAGGTAGAGAAGGACAGGAGACGAGAATGTCCCAGTGAGTGCGTTTTCAGGGGAGAATAGCCAACCGAAAGTGATGTGTGTTCGACTATTGACTATAAGAAAAGCCAGCTGCCATCATTGTGAACAAGCGATAAAGAACAATCTAGTTATTGACAGTGTGTCAGTCCTGTAGGCTCTGTGGCTAGCGTACCTTCTGCAGACCAACGCAGAAGCGTCTGAAGACCTCCTTCATGTTGCCTCCCTTCTCCATGGAGATGACACGCAGGTGATCCTCCTCGTTCACCCACACCAAGAAGCTCTTGCTATCGTTGTGCCTTCAGAAAGGAGGGAGTACGTATTACATGACACACCACTATGATACACTGTGGGACATACTGTACATGCATTATCTTGTTTCACAAATGGTATTGTTTTTGTTTGGGTATTGGTATAAGCCTGTGTCCTGGGCACTCACCAGATTCCTCTTGCGTCGGGCCAGTCACGGGCCATACCAGCGGACAGCAGCAGGGGGGAGACGGGCTTGTCAAACAAGAAGTGGTCGGCGATCAGCTGATCTTGCTCGGCATCGGTCATGGCGTTCAGGGGGTAGTACTTTCCCTTGAACTCACCATCCAGTGTGGCCAGGGCTGAGGGGAGAAAGACATAAACATGAGATTGACATGGTCGTGCTTCAAGTCAGCACAGCTGACCCTGATTTATAGTGCTGATTTATAGTGCTGATTTTTATAGTGCAGACACTCACCTTCAATGGACAGTTTCTCAACCATTCTGCGCTCGCCACGGCTGTTGTGGGGGGGCAGGGTGTATCCCTTGATGCTGCGGCCGGTACGCACACGGCTAGACAGAACGTAGGCGGGGTCAAGATCATCACCTCCCTGCAAACGGGGAAATTAATGTTATGTCACTCTACACATATAACTCATTCAAATGCTATCTAGTCACCACGGTCCACTGCAGCCTTATATATTAGCTAAAAAATCAAGCATGCAAAAGGAGCAACTCAAAATTTGAAATGTGATTGTCATGATCACTCTCTTCACTCACCTTCAGGTTCTCGAAGTTCAGGTCGGTCTTGTGCTGGTCGGTGGGCTTGTAGCCTCCATGACGGTCGGAGATGATTGGGTCGAACATATCCTTGAAGACTTCGTAGCACTCTTCATCACCAGCAACGCATCCGACGGTCATGATGAAGGGGTGTCCTGCAGACAGATGGAGAATAGGTGAGAACTATTGCCACAGGAAAACTACATGTAAAAGGCTACCAACAAAATGCACTACCAACAGTCTCATTTTTCATGCTAATAGTGTATCAGTTAATATCACTAAGAATATTTTGTTTTCAGCCACCAATCAGAGACTTCATAGGGCCCTGACGGATCTTCCTGTGTGTGTGCTTCCGAGTCTTACCAGGGTTGTCCACACCGGTCTGGATGCAGTCGTCCAGGGTGAAACCGGAGGGGGTAGACTTGCTCCTCAACTTTTTGTACATGTCCTTGGTCAGCACCTTGGACATGTGGTTGTTGTGCAGGGAGAGGTCTGGGAACTCCTCATCGTCAGAGAATTTCAACTTGTAGTCATTGTGGCAGTTCTTCGTCATGATTGCGGCTCTCTTTTGTCCTGCAAAAAGGAGGGGGGGTAGAAGTGTGAATCTATGTAGGATGATCTGGCACACAGTAACAAAGCCCTCCCAACTAAACATTCAAGAATGGTGAGAGAACAATATCTGGGTCTCTAGCAACAGAATGGTGCCACAATTTGTAAAAGAGAGCATGATGGGTTTTCAGAAAAAAAAATCACAAGGAACTGTCCTAGCAATGGCCTAACAATACAACAAATACCACTAAATGTACCATATTTTGTGGTTTGTAGTACTGAGTCTCCTAGTGTCTTATCTATCAGTCTCCTGGCCCCCTCCAGCCACTGCCTCATGTTTCCACAGAGAGTGACAGGGGTGTGATCTACGTGCTTTTATGCACTTGGCAGCAGAAGGTATTTTTAGACCAGGCCATCTTGCTGTGGCTGTACTCTGACACTGGCATGCAAGCCACCTTTCCATTCCTTCAAGGGAAACACCACCACTGGAGCCTAGTCTGGCTACCCCCCAGTAGGACGTACCAGAGAGTTTCAGAGACTGACTTGATTCATTCTCCGGTCATTAGCACAACTGACCTTCATATCAGAATGAATAGGATCACAGATTAAAAACTACAAACATGCTGAGGAACAATTGCAGACATTATAGAAATTCAATACTTCAAATTGCATGTTTTTTTCTGCAAAATATCTAAAATGACTCTGTGTCATCTATAGATTACCACTGGTAACAAATCAACCAGCCGCTGTCCTGTGACTATCCTTCCTCTACAACAGCCGTTAGTGATCATGGCTGTTTTTAAACTAGTGCTCTCTTTTACCGACAAAACTTTTAACAAAGTTACAGTTTGCACTGAAGAGGATGATGAGTAAAAACGCATAAGAAGTAGTTTAAAGAAGAAAAAAACTGTATATCTTCCATTTTAGGAAACGCTGCAAGAAACTGAAGAGGTGTCCAATGCAAAAAACAAGAAGAACCGATTTCAGGATTCCAAATAGTGCAGCAACAGAGAGGTTTTATTTATGTAACGTGTTTGTTTAAAATTCCTAATTTCTTTTGGTGCTGTTTTTCAGGAGTTCTCCTAATTTCTACTGTTCCAGAAGCTTGCTGCCTAGTAGGTTTACCTGCACAGAAGAAAATGAGGTAATGGTCCCGGGATCCACCAAAGCCAATATAGGGGTTGCCCAACTTTGACAGGTGTTAGACCCTAGCTTATATACCCAGACCTTTGCACCCATTGGCTGGTTTGTCTCTGAATTCTCTCACTCGATTGGACAGCCACAAACCCTGATGCCCAGTTTAGTTTCTAAAAGGCAAGAACTTACATCACAACACCCGAGACTGTACAACAGCTGTGCCTACCCCCTGAACGGCAACGTCCCCCTCCTCCTCTGATTAGCTACTTGAGGTTGAGGGTTGAAAGAGGGGCTGCAAGCGACAGTTGAAGTAAAGCGACAGTTGTAAAAAAATACACTTTCTCCGCGGACACCTTTGTAAGTGTTCACACTGAGAGATTGAGGGGTCCTGGGGGAACAAATAACTACTATGTCTAAAAGCGTCTGCTAAATGGCATATATTATATTACTAGTTGTGGGATTTCATGGAAGTTCTCCCCTACAGTCATTGGAGCTCCCTCTCATTCATCTGTAGTGTGTTTGGTGTGTATTCCCACCCCCTTGGTCCTAATTTGAATCAGTCAAAGTGATACAATTTTGCATAGGAATATGGTCATGGTCCCTTGAGAGAGATGGCGAACCGGAAGGGGAGAAAGGAGAAAGCCACTTCATAGAGCATTTCATAAACGATACCTGACAATATGAACCACAAACTGGAACTGTCACACACTCCACTTGGATTCAGAGCAATTGGACTTCGCAGAGGTTTTTGTTGAAGCTCATAGTCAATCAAGGCTTAATGTGATTTCACACAAGGTTTAACAATTTTAATGAGGAGATTGTTTAAAACAAGTCTTCCGCACAGTGCCGCTGTGTCTCCCAGCTCAATGACTAGATGGAATGAACAAGTGGCACAATGTCAGGCAGACGTAAACAGGCCTATTTTGGGTAAATTTAACAAACTAGTGCTTTTCTTATTATCAAGAATTCTCAAGGTCCAAATGTTGGTGAAGATGATGTGATTCTGTCAGAAATGATATCTTATATTTGCTCTCCATCTCTTCATTTATCCTTCTCTACCTCTTCACTGTATCCTCCATATTCCCATCCAGTTGAATCAGGGATGCCAGTACAGAACACTCCACTGACTTTATACCTTGACACAACTTACTTGGCCAACGTACCACTTTTGGACTTTTATGGTTATCGTTGGTTATCGTTATGTACAGACTGGCTTGGGAGGGGGGCATCTTCTTTTGTCTTTATTATCAGATGAGGATAGTGAGAATAGCGTAGGTATAAATCTGTCGCTTGACATTTACTGAGAAGAACTACAAATGCAGTATTGAGCTTTGGCATGAATACACTAGAAGACAATGCCAAAATGTCCAACACACACTAGCAGAGCTGTTGCCGTGGATTGCGCACACAAAAGGATGAAAGCCCCTCACTTCAGTGTGCCTTACTTACAAATCCATGCTGAGCTTTTGTGCCAACCATTCTGTCAGGACAAATCTCCCAACTGTGATAGATAATTTATTCCTTCATGTCTATTTCTAGCAGCATGCCAGGGCCCTGCCAAAGAAATATACTGTGTCCCCATAGAGTGATAGTCATAACAAACATGCAAACACAGATCGAAGAAGAAGAAGGGTCTTTGGTTGGAAGTACAGCATAAGATTGAATTTAAAGCATCTACTGTATACAACCAAAGTTTGCTGAAGCAGATTTAGAGAGGGTAAGAGTGATAGAGGTTGATTGTCCAGGCTTTGTGCACAAGCCTCCTTCAGTATGTATTATCAAAAGTATTATTAAGTTGATCATTACAAAATTCGGTCAAAATTCGGTCTTATATGGGAAATGAACCTTACATAATACAAAATGAAAATTGGGTGCCAGCCAGTGGTTTTATATAAAATTATTTTTAGATATTGCAGATGCCTTGTGTCAATTACTGACAGATATTAAATCAAAGAGAGCCCATGTGACAACAAAATTGTTGATGGGTGTGAGGCAAACACTACTAATCCCTCCCATTATGCAAAGTAGGGGGCAGCCAAGAGAAGCTAAATTCAGTACTTATTGATTTTCTATTGCAACACTACTGAGGGGTCCTGGTCATAGCAATGTAATAACCAAATGTGTGAAGAATGACCAGGTTCATATTTCAATTACCAAGTTCATATTTTTTAATGAGGGAAGTGGAATGTGTCTCCGCAATATATTTCAAGCTTGCTATTCTCTGTGGTACAAGGCATTCTCTAAAACAGGTGTTCCCATCTTAGGGGAAGCTACCCCGATAGGCGGACGCCAAGATTTCGTGGGGGGGCGTGGGACCTTCCTTGATTTGAGGGGCAGGGACGGCCTGTTCAATAGGGCGATATGGGCGACGCACTGCCAAACGGGAAAAGGAAGGGATTTTTTTTCTAATCAATTATATCACGGCAACAGTAGTTATCAGTGTTGTAATCTGATCTGACTGCCACTAAATGTCAAATCAGGCTAAAGTCGTGCTTCAAATGGCCCCGCCCGTTTTTGGGCGATTTCAGTCAGGTTGAAAATCGCCCAGAAGTCTCTCATAGCCTGTCATGTAAAATCTATTTTTTTCAAATTTCAAAGCTTTCAATACATTCTCTATGGGTGTCTGTGGGCTTGCACTTACGCGCTTTCGTCATACGTGACGTAACCATGAACGTAACTAAGCAAATAGCGGCTAGCAGCGTCTCTTTGCGACCTGCAGTGTGGCGTTATTTTATGTTTTTAATTTGTACACTTAGTGGCGTTATTTTATGTTTTTAATTTGTACACTTAGTTTACAAACATTCTGCCAACCATGGATTTCGAGTGGTGGGTTTTGGACTGATCTTGTTGATCGTGTACATACCCGCTACGAACGGACTAAATAATGAAAACGTTGCTGGCAGCGGAATCCAATACAGCTGGGAGACTTGGCTGGATGACAGAGTCCCGGACAGAGAAGTGGAGCCGGCCGGCTTCACCCTGGTCGGAGCGGACCTCGATCTGACAGTCACAGGGAAAATCGATCGTGGTAAGAGAGCGACTCTGTACCCCCGAGCCCCGACATTGAACTGCTTTCTGTGTCACTGTGACCTTACTATCTGCCCCGTGAGTTCCCCCAATTGTTTGTTACCGTTGTGTACTGTTGATAATCACAAGTTTACTGGAGAACTGAGACCAAGTAGAGACTTTGGACAGGGTGGATATGGTATAATAAAGGCAGTTTATTCAGAGGTAAAGATATCTGGAATCGCGTGCACGGACTCGTTCGTCAAACTCTTAGGGAGCTATCTGAAGAGAGCCCCGAAAACATTGTGTGCTGACATTTTATACAATAAATGATGTAGGTTGAATCTAGTAGTTCTGATCTTCTGATTGGTCCTGATGAGTTGGGCGAGGTCCCCTCCACTGTTGCATTGGCTCTGAGTCGGGTTCTCTGTCTTCAAATGTTCAGCCTAAAGAGAGGGGATTTTTGTGTGTGTGTGTGTGTGTGTGTGTGTTTAACAGTGATGATGTGTGTGTGTGTGTGTGTGTGTGTTTAACAGTGATGATGTGTGTGTGTGTGTGTGTTATCAGTGATGATGTGTGTGTGTGTGTGTGTGTGTGTCCTCAGAGCAAGAACTCGTGAGTTGGAAGAACTGAGAGACCTATGGCGTGGGTGTTGTCCTTGGCCACCTGCTGACAAGGCTGACAAGATAGGACTCTTTTGTCCATTGTTATAGGATAGGAACAGCATTGATTGAAAACAAACGCCCAACACAAAATGGGTCATGCACAAGATTTTAGTCAGACCAAGCTATAACATTATATATTTACTACGACAGTACATTCAACCAAAAGCTAATATAACAAAGGCATCAGAGATTATTT